ATGTATTGATCTTGTATTGATTTTGTATTGATTTTGTATCGATTATTGGCTATGTATCGATTATGTATTGATGATGTATTGATGATGTATTGATGATGTATTGATGATGTATTGATCTTGTATTGATTTTGTATTGATTTTGTATCGATTATTGGCTATGTATCGATTATGTATTGATGATGTATTGATTATGTATTGATGATGTATTGATTTTGTATTGTTGATACGGTACTCTTGACGTTAGACACAGATTTCTAATTACTTAAACTTATCGGCTTTTCGCTTGGGTTGGCAGTTGCGTCCATCTGCGTATCTCTTCCCACACTTGGACTCATCTGCGTCGCAATTACCAAAAATCTTTCGAAGACTTCCGCGATGCTCTGAGAAAGTCGAACCAAGCTTATACCTCAAGTTGTGCCATCTTGTGAAAAGTACTGAGAACCATGTAGCCCTGCACCAAATTGCAACTGTTGAAAAAGGACCTGGCTTGGGCGTCGGGTTCATGGAACTGCCCTGTGGTTTCACTATACTTTTAATAATCTCTTGCAATATCCCGCTATGTAGAAATGTCTGGGTTACTCATGTTTGTTCAAAAACTTCATCCCTGCGTTTGCCAATGCTTCACTTTGCCTGGAATAGTAGTTAAGAGGTTTGAACTTCTGTCATGTAATATTGGGCTCTGGTCACGAGTATGACCATCATCCAATACAAAACTGGAAGCGGCACCACTTTTGACATGATCCTTCAAAATGAACCAAAGCCACAGCGAACCATCATTGTTCCCAACAAGCGACTAGCTCCACATACCACTTCACAAGATTCTTCCCATTCTAAATCGTGAAGGTCAGATATCAAAGCACCATATAGCATCACAGCCCTACGCACCTCTACAGCAACGTGCTTTCTGCCAGATCTCGAAAACTCCAACAGCCTTTGAAAACATAGCGCTCCGTACAGTCTGTCCGTTGTAAATGTTGTAAATGTCATATTCTGTCGTATCTCGTCTCTGTTCCTACGAAATCAGTTGGCAGAACCACGTCCTCCGGCACCAGAAGTGATGAGGCCCAATGTCTCCTCGTTCAACTCAATCTCCGGTAACTTGTTACCCTCAGCAGAGGGCGCTGGCAAGAACCCAATTTTCACCAAGTAACTGATGTACACACCAACAGTGTCCTCCTCCACACCCTTGCCCGCACTGACGTCCTCGTTTGTCAACGCGATATCTGCCTTCAAAGCCTTGACAGTGTTCTCGTCGTCCAACTCGGGTGCCTTGGTGTCTTGCGGCAAGTTGTCCAAAACAAAGTGCAACAACGGGAACAACGCAGAGCTCTTGGACTCCTCCACGACAAACGTCTCCAAAGAAGATCTCCAATCGGGGTAGTCCTCGCGCTCCACATTGTATCCATATGTCTTCATGCTGCCCACAAACTGGTTGAACGTGATTCTGGGGTGTCCTGTGACATGCGCTACGGACAAGTAGTCACGCTGAGGTGGGTGCAAGGCAGTGGCCACCACGACACGCGCAACGTGATCAACTGGAACCATGTTGATGGTATTCGTGATGTTGGGGTACTGTCCCAACTCGGCACATCCCTTCAAGAATCTCAACAAGAAGTCGTCAGTGTTGGAAGCACCTGTCTTGGAGAAGCCGGTGACATAGCCGGGTCTAGTGATGCATCCCTTCAATCCTCTCTCGCTCGCTCTTCTGGCCAAGTACTCGGCTGCCCATTTGGATTGCCCGTATCCAGTACCCAAACCACTGGCGGAGCCCGACAAGTCATCTGCCTCAGAGATACCTGTAAAACCCCTGGATGTCAACTCATCGGATGCGTTGAAAAAGTAGTCGGTGTCAAGCGTGGAAGTCGAAGACACAAACGAAAAGTACTTGGACTTGCCTACACCACACAAGTTGATCACGTTGATCGTGCTGATCACATTGGCATCTCTCATTGTGGCATAAGGGTATACCCAATGAACCATTGCGCCATTGTGGATGATGACGTCGACCGTATTCGCTAACAGAGTCCAGGAAGCATCATTCATGCCGAATTGAGGCTTGGCCAAATCACCCAACACCACCTCGATCTTCTGGGCCCATTCTTCTTTCCAAATGCCATAAGTCTTTCCAGTCTTGCGTAGCCTCTCGAGACCTGCCTCCTTAGTCGATGCCCTTACATGCGCATAGATTTTGAAGTCAGCTTCGCGGCATTCCAAGAGGTCCCTGACAATGAAAGAGCCAAGGAACCCAGTGACACCGGTGACAAATATGTTCACCGTCTTGGAAAAATCCAAGGAGTCCAAAGAAGGGTATTTTGCAAGCAAGGCGGACGACTCAAGCTGCTTGGCATCGTCAGAGTAAGACTGGGTGGTGTCTATTTCGATCTCCGTTGCAGTGTTTGTGCCATCAGCCAACTCGGCCAGGTCACCCTTGATGAAGTTGCTGACCTCTTTGGCAAAAGCCTCAAGGGTTGGGTTCTTGAAGATGACTCCGAGCGGCAAGTCGACATTCAACTTCTTCCGTAACTCAAAGATCATTCTAGTTCCCAAGATGGAATGACCGCCCAAGTCGAAAAACGAATCGTCTCTGGCAATCGAGGGTGGCTTGTTGGGCAATACATCAAACCACAAGTCGCGCACCACAGTCTCCAACTCGGTAAAAGACTGCTCGTCAGCGCTGGCGCCAGACTTGGAGGCGGTTAACTTCGCAACGGCCTCCAATTGAGCAGTGTCAGGGAAAGGCAACTTTGGCTTGTCCACCTTACCGTTGGGATTGAGAGGTAACTTGACAAGAGGCACAATGATTGTTGGAATGGCGTATGAAGCCAATCTCTTCTTCAAGTACTTCTTAATGTCTCTGATCAAAGGCCCGTAAGCAGCCAAGCCGTTGATGATAGGGTCATCCGACTCCTGGACGTCGTCTTTCAACTCACGCAACTCGGCACATTCTTTGGGCACAATGTAAGAGATCAACGTCTGCTCCTCGTTTTTGTCTCTGCGGACAAGCGTGACGTTCTCCCTCACCAAGGGGTGCTGCGACAAGTGGGTGTCAATCTCGCCTAATTCGATACGGAAGCCCCGGATCTTGACCTGGTCATCGGCACGGCCACAGCACTCGACGTTTCCGTCTGGCAAGTAACGGCCCAAGTCGCCTGTGCGGTACAAGCGGTCGCGAGGCCCGAACCATGCGGCAGCACGCCACGCAGCCTCCTCGGGCCGCGAGTTCTGCTTGTCTTGTGCGATCCAGTGCTCTGGATCCACGTACCAGTTGGTGACAAACTTCTCCTTGTTCAAGTCGGGCAAGCCACGGTAGCCCTCGGCCAAACCAGCAGCACGCACGTAGATTTCGCCAATCTCACCGACGCCACATGTCTGCGAGCGGTCGTTCCGGTTGACGACCAAGAGCTGCACGTTGTGCATTCCTGTGCCGGCCGGCATGACGTCTTTAAGGTTCTTCAAGGCATTGGCGTCGGCCGCGCGGCTGGCGATCTCGAAGTAAGAGACGGCACGCTGGGTTTCAGTAGTGCCGTACATGTTGACGATGGCCACGTTCTCTGCCAAGGTCTGCAAGCGGAGGCAGTCTCTCTTGGTCAAGACGTCACCGACAAAAAAGGCGTGGTGCAACGAGGGGATCGGCGTGACGGCCTGCGCGCTCAACAACTGGCCCATGGCCGGGGTCAAGTGGGTAACCGTGGCGCCGTGCTCGGCCATCCAGTCGGCCAACTTGCCGGGCGTGCCGATGTCGTCAGCCGTGGGCACCAACAACTGCGCGCCGAGGAACAAGGGCGTGAACATGTCCCGCTGGATCGGGTCGTGCGCAATGCCGGACAACATGGTGAACTTGTCCTTGGACGACAAGCCGAAGCGTTGGGCCATCCAGGGGAAGTAGTATGCCAAGGAGTAGTGGCGGCCCAAGACACCCTTAGGGATTCCCTCGGAGCCGGAGGTGAACGACAACGTGGGGTTGTTGTCAGGCCCCACGACCACGCCCGTAGGGGTGTCCTTGTACTGCTGGAACGCGGCCAAGCAGTCGGCAGAGTCGGCGCCAAGGACACCGCCCACCAACGAGCCGTCGTCCTGGATCTTGAGCTGCGGAATGGTCGATACCACGCGCAACTCGGTCGCAATGTAGTCCGTGACCAATGGGTCCAAGACGCCAGCCTTCTCCAAGCCGATCAAGCCCTGTGGCTTGGCCACGGAGAAGTAGATGTTTTGTCTTGCTGGCGGATACGCCGGGTCGATGACGGAGAACGTGGCACCGGCCTTCAACACACCCATGACCGCGACCATCAAGTCCACGCCTCGGTAGGCGTAGATCATGACAATGTCGCCCTTGCGGATGCCCGTGTGCTTCAAGTAGTTGCCCACGACGTTGGAGGCCTGGTTAATCTGCTGGTACGAGAAGGTGCGGGTTTTGGAGGCCGGGTCCATGAACGAGCACGTCTCCACCACACAGTCCCTGTGCGGATGCGCCAAGGCGTTCGCCATGAAGATGTCCTGGATGGCGCCGCGGAAGCCGGCCCAGTCCAAGTCCAAGGAAGGGTCCGGCAACTGCGCCCGCTGCAGCGGCGTGACCAAAGGCACGTGCGTGATGGGCACGTCCGGGTGGGCCGCCACGTGCGCACAGAACTGCGTGAACTGCTCGGCGAAAACGGCCATTCGCTCGGACTTGTAGAGCAATGAGTTGTAGAACACGTGGAAGTCGCCGGTGTCGGGCGAGCAGAACACGGCCAAGTCGCGCACGGACCCCTCGACCGAGGTCTCCAACTTCTGCAGCGGCCGCGCGTGCTGGTACGACACCTTGAAAAGCGCCGGGGCCAGCTCGAGCTTCTTCTCGCGCTGGATGGCCCGCGCAATGTCGTCCAAATTATGGTACTCGACCTTGCGGCTATTCGCGGCATATTCGGCCCGCACGCGCGCGGCCAAGTCGGCAAACGTCATACTGGCGTCCACGGCCACGCGCACGACAAACGGCTCGCCGGAACTGTTCGCGTCGGTGGCCACGATAATGTCGTCGTCGCCGGAAAGCCGGAACACCAATGCGGCAAACACCGCCAACCCGGCGACAAAGTCGGGGGCGTGCGCCACCGAAAACCGCGTGGTGGCCTCCACAGACCGGCTATTCAAGGGCCTCAAAAAATCGTGCGGCAACACGGATAACGTGGGCGTGTCCAAGTACTTGACCCAGAAATCTAGCATTGTGAATGAAGATTTTTTTTTTTTTTTGCGAGTTGCTTGACGCTGGAAGATGCTTCAGATGACGCTGCAAAAACGGTTCGGATGATGCTTCGTTTCAGAGGGCGGTTGGTGCTGGAAGAAGGACAGACGCCAATGGCCGGGAAAAGAAGGGGGGTGGTTTTTGCACTGGTTTTGTAGTGCTCGTCTTTTTCGGGCGGTTATGAGACATGTGACTCAAGCACGCGGACCGGCTGAGGCAACTGCGTAGATGTGACTCACCTCACGTGCCGATAAGAGTGCCGCGAACCAGGCAACGGGTGTGCTATCTGGAAGCCGGGGCACGACCACAAAAGAAGAGGGCGAAAAAGAAAAGGCGGGGCTAAAGACGATAGAGCGGACGAGATGCGGGGAATGGGGAAGGAGGGGAGATTGTAATGGAGGGGAGATGTGGAGAGCTTCAGTAAAGAAAAGAGCTTTGGTAAGAAGAGAGGAGTAAGAAAAGAGCTTCAGTAAGAAAGAGCTTCAGTAACAAAAGAGCTTCAGTAACAAAAGAGCTTCGATAAAAAGAGAGCTTCAGTAAGAAAAGAGCTTCAGTGAAAAAAGAGCTTCAGTAACAAAAAAGCTTCAGTAAGAAAAGAGGAGTAAGGAAAGAGCTTCAGTGGTAAAAGAGCTCTAGTAATAAAAGAGGAGTAAGAAAAGAGCTTCAGTAATAAAAGAGCTCTAGTAGGAAAAGAGCTTCAATAAGAAAAGAGCTTCAGTAACAAAAGAGCTTCAATAAAAAGAGAGCTTCAATAAAAAGAGAGCTTCAGTAACAAAAGAGCTTCAGTAACAAAAGAGCTTCAGTATCAAAAGAGCTTCAGTAAAAAAAGAGGATAAGATTAAAACAGCAGCATGGAATAGAAAAGCCAAGCCCACGCAATAAAGGTTGATGGAGGGATGGTTCTTTTTATACATGTTGCAGCCGGTCTGGGTGATCTAGCTCTTGACAGTATTCTCCTACACGTAACCGCAATAACCCTTTTGACCCACAGCTTCGTACCGCAATTGGGGGTTCCGGTTCCTGGTCCAGGCAGCATGGTTTTCGTTGCCTGATAAACATAGAAAAGCGCAAATGGAAAATAAGTCTTGCAGCTGCTTAAGTAGACTTATCTTCCTATTTATGGACCGCAATTAAACTGGGCGAAGGGCCCAGAAACACACATTGCAAGATCCAATAAAGCGCAATAGCAGATCCGTCGAATACGTACAAGCTGGAGCTCGTTATATTTATGGTAACTAGACGCACATCTACGATGCTAGTGATTAATCTGGTGTATTATGTCTATTAAATGTAGTGTAGGCTAAGCATCAAGGCCAGCTGCAAGAACTGTTGATATGTTCACATCCATAATAGGCCCCGCCCGAGGGCGAAAACACATGAGCTGCAGACTTCCAGGCTTATTTTCGAGCTCCTAATAAAGGAAATTGGGTCCGCCGGGGGTTTCACATAACTCCAGCTTCTGGTGGTTCAGTTTGGCACATCCGAAACGTCTGGATATACGTCTCCAATGCGCACATATCATTCTATTGTCCAGGAACAAGCCGAAAGTTATACATTATGGTCCATTTCTAGCTGATAATGGGTTAAGATTGGTAATTGGTTCTTGCCGCCTCACTGAGTGAAAGGCCTGAAATCGTCAAGGAGTCACTAAGCTAGCCTTTTGACTCATGGCTCAAGAAGCCACTGATCTGAAACCGGTTTTCACCGTGTCGAAAGGCCGGTTTCGCTTGCTGACAAGTTGAAACTAAACAGTGCCTTGGTCCAGAAATCATACGTGCAAACGGTCCTCTATGTAGAAGATGATGTGAGTTTGTAGTCCCACTCAGCGAAAGAGACTGAAATTTCACTGTCTAGGGAGGCATGCCGAAGAGCGAGCCCCACGGTAAATCACATAACAGCAATTCTCAACAAAGCCTCAAGGCTTGTAAGAATGTGGGCTGGATTATCATGCCCCAGTGATGGCATGTGCGCAGAATTGACTTTGGACCACCCGTGATCATTTGCGCTCATGCAAAAACAGAAGGTGGTCTCAATAAGCCACGGGGACAGAATCAGGTTTCGAAATTCATGGGTCATGCCCCGAGCCACTTTGGGCTCGATTAACAAGGACGCCAACCGTTGTTCCATTATAAAGCCGAGCGCCCCACACACGGCTCAGTTCATGAACAAAAACTGGAGGTCATCTGGCGTCAATCTATTCACGGCCGCATCGTCGTGGTTGATGGTGGCGTGAATCATGTTTGCCTTCTTCTCCTGGAGCTCTATGATCTTCAGCTCGATGCTGTCCTCGATGCAGAAGCGAGTGATGCGGATGGGCCGCTTCTGGCCAATCCGGTGCACACGGTCCATGGACTGCCACTCCACACTCGGGTTCCACCACGGGTCCATCAAAAACACCTGCGAGGCCTCGCACAAGTTCAAGGCCACGCCACCGGCCTTCAAGGACACAAGGAAAATCTCCACCAGCGTGTTCTCCATGAAGTGCTTGATGGTGTTGTCGCGCTGCTGTGGCGTCATCAGGCCCAGGAGCTTGACGGTCTCGAAGCCCGCCTTCTTCAAGCGCCACTCTATAAGGTCCAACATCGACGTGAACTGCGAAAACACAATCGACTTGATGGTGTGCTTGTCCGAGCGGAGCTTGTAGAGCTCCTCAACAAGCGCCTCGATCTTGGTGGAGGACCGCCAGCCGCCGCCGTGCGTGCCCAACTTGATGCGGTTGATGATGGAGCCCTTGCTGAAGAGCTCCTCGTCCACCTCCAACGCCGGCTGCTGCAAGTCTATGGAGAGCCCGATGTGGCACACCGGGCACTGGAGATTCTTCTCCTCGCCCAGGAAGCTCTCCATGTATTCACGCACGCACATCCGGCAGAAACGATGACGGCACTTGGACTCGATGGGCTCCTCGGCCTCGTCGTCGCAGAGCTGGCACATGATCACGCCGTCGACCTCCTGCGCCACGGCGTTTGCCCCGACTCGCTTCAACACCAAGTCGGGGTGGTCTGCGAGCTGGCGCATGCGCGTGATGAGCGTGAAGATGTTGGCGTAGTTGTTGAGCACCACGCCCTCGGCCACGTAGTCGTTGAACTTGCGCTTGGAGTCGCTGTACAAGGACAGGTACAAGTCCTTTTCCTCGGCGTTGAAGACGTCCTTGCGGATCTCGACGATGCGCGGGGGCAAGCCGAGGTCGTCGGCGCGCTCGATCTTGGTGCGGCGCAACATCACGTTGTTCAAGAGCAAGCGGAGGTGCTGGAAGGACGTGAGCCCGTCGCCCGCGATGCCGTGCTTCTGGATATTCTTCAACATGAAGTGGTTGAAGAAGTTGGTGTGCAACATGGGCGAGTGCTCGCAGATGTCACAGTGGCGCCAGTCGGAGAACTTCCACTCGGCCGACAGGCAGGCGCACTTGGTGCAGTAGTACTTGTAGAACGGGTCGAGCTTCATAAAGCGGATCAACAGGTATATCTCGCCGATGCGGTTCTGGAGCGGCGTGCCGGTCAAGCACCAGCGCTTCTGGCACTGGAGCTCGTTGGCGGCCTTGGCCGTGCCGCTGGTGCGGTCCTTGATGTTGTGTGCCTCGTCCAAAACCACGCGGTAGAAGGGGAGCGCATGGAGCGGCGACTTCTGCTTGACCACGCCGTCCTTGCGCTTGAAGCCGTAGCGCTCCTTGCGGTACACGCTCTCGAGCACGGAGTAGGACGTCAAGATCACGTCGTAGTCCTGGAGCTGCAGGCACGTGGTGGCGCGGTTGGCTCCGTGGAACAACAACACGCGCAACTTGCCGGGCCGGGTGTGGTTCTCGATCTCGTGCTTCCACTGCATGAGCGCCACGGTGGGCCCCACCACCAAGTTGGGCCGCTTCTGCAAGTCGTGCATGAAGAGCGCTATGGTCTGGATGGTCTTGCCCATGCCCATTTCGTCCGCCAACACGCCGCCGCCAAACTCGCCCTCCTCCTGCTTGATGAGCCAGTTGAGGCCCTCCAACTGGAACGGGAGGAGCCGCACGTTCATGTCCGCGGGCTGCGCGGCCCGCTCCACCTTGACTTTCTCCACGGACTGGAGGTACGGGAACACGTCCTTGAGCTCCGGGTGATGCTCGTACAACTTGCCGGTGACCCGCGTGAAGTACGGCACCTTGACTTTGGGCTCCTTTTTCTTGCGCGGCTTGGCCCGCTTTTTCTTGCTGGGCGGGTCCGCCGAGAGCCGCTGGTCCGACTCGTTGTCCGAGAGCAGGATGGCGTTTTGCGACGAGCTGCCCGCGCGGGCTTGTGCCAGCGCCACGATGGAGAGGTCGTCGTCGTCAAGCTCGGCGAAAACAGCGCTGCTGCGGCCGCCGGGCCCTGTCTTTTTGCGGCCGCCGGCCCGCGGCTTTGTACCACCAGTGGCAGTGGGGCCGCCGTCGTCATCGGAATCGACGGGCCCGCCCAAGGCGGCCGTGTCGTCGCGGTATTCGTCGTCGTCGTCGGGATCGCTCGCTTTGGCCGCTAAACGCCCCCGGCTCGATGTTTTCACGCGTTTTTTGCCACCCGCCGGCCCGGCGCCGCGCCGCGGCCGCTTGGCAAGGGGCGCCGAGTCACTGCCGCCGGAATCCTCGCCGTCAGAGAGGAGTTGCGCAAGATCGGCGCCTTCGAGCACGTTTTCGTCGTACGACGCCACGGTTTTGGCCCGCCGCGGCTTGCGTTTCGGGCGGCGGTCCGGGTCGTCCACTATGAAGCCGCCCGCGGCGAAATCCGCGTCGTTTTCGCTGTTTGTGGCGGGCTCTGCCGGCCTTCCCGCCGGGCTTTCAGTGGTCTGTGGTGCGTTTCTGGTCATGGTGGCCGGCAGCTACGAGCAGGGCACGGGGCTTCCAAAAACAGACTGGTTGGGTTATTTTATACACACCGGGGCGCAAAATGCACAGGGTTTCTGTGCTGCTGCTTTTTTTTTATTTGTGCTAAAGAAGACGGGTGCTAGGACGGGCCATTGGTGATAGCGCAGGTCTGACTGCGAAAAGCGCAACGCTTAAGTAACGGTGGCAAAAAAGTCGCGGGCGGTACGGGCAGGGCCCGCTGGTTCTGGGCAGAATTGCAGGGGTGTGGCTGGGGAGGCCAGAGGGCGCCGCTGGTTTTTGTGCTGGATGAATTGTGTATTTTTTAGCTTTTGGTGATTTCGGTCGTCTGTATTTTTTGTTGTCTGAGTGTCTCGCGGGCTGATGTCGTGGCAATCTAATGGCGGGGGTTCTCTCACAGGGCCGTGGGACTGGAGAAAAAAGACGGTGGTGGGGTTGTGAATTGCATGTTGGTCTTTTGCTTTGATTTTTTGAGTGTGGGTTGTTTGTTGGCTATTGGTTGGTTTGTGATTGTCTATTGAATGCTAAGTGATTCTGTATTGAATGATAAGTGGTTTTTCATTGATCAATTCTTGATTGTTAACTGATTATTATGGTTTTTTATTGGTTAATTCTTGATTGTAACTGATTATTATGGTTTTTTATTGGTTAATTCTTGTATTGTTTACTGATTATTC